GACCCACAATCAATCCTTTCTTAGAATTTACATACGGCGAATTCACATAGCACTTCCTTTCTCATTTGTATTTCATGGCTGTCTAAAGGCGATAACATAGAGTGTTTTACATGGACTTGATTATCCCGTCTATGAGCCTTATCCCTGTTCAGATCATATTGAGGACATGGCGTTTACATGCATACGAACAAACCTGGTTATTCATATCCCTGTTGACATGATAAATACTAGAATCCTGGTTTCGGGGAGAAAAAACTCAGTTTCTTAGTCGCTTAACCGTGTTTGTTTTGCTGATACTGCCTAACCTGCAGGAAGTCGGAAGAAAAAATCGGGGTAGTGTCACATGCCACAGTAGTTTTCTTTCGGAGTTCACTGGGTAGAAAAATCATGTTTCTGAAAGTCAGGATAAGGGCTTATCCTGGTTTCTGAAATTAGGATATGATGTTTACATGCACAAACACAAATACAAGTAACTTGTATTTACTTGTTAAAAACTGAGATACTCAAGTCCATGTCCAACATTTTCAACATGCTGTATAGCTTGCAGTTAGATTCACTGAAAGTGTTTTTTCACTTTAATCAGGGTAGAATAAGGGAGCTCAAGGCTGAAAAGAAAAAAGAAAACCAGGTTCCATAGAAAAGCTACAAATATATTTCACTGGACATGAAGTATGCTGGCTCACAGGCGTGCTAAAAGGTGTAATTATACTGCTCCATCTGCTGATTTTAACCAAAAGCTCTCAGTGTGAGCAACAACAATAACCTTGTAGAAAAACTGGGATAAAAAAATACTACCACTGCAACCTTGTGGGTCAAAACAAAAGGATTGCATTTTGCAGCACATAGACCGAAGAACATCGAAAACTATATTCAAGGTCTACTTGTTGATCCTCGGAGGAACATCTTTCTGTTTATTGTAACAGGTTATTCTATTGAACACAGAATGTGAGGAAACTCATAAGCCCAATACCTACTGCACATGTCATGATGTCAAATATTTCTCTAGATGCACTAAACTGACAGAGAAAGGACGTGTCGTACAGTTTACAGAAAAGAGAGAAGATAAAAATGTTGGGAAAGTCATTTTTATATGGATATTAAACTGCTGCTAGGGGCTAAGTGATAATGAAACTCTTCAGACTACTGGAAGGCATTGCCAGGAGCTCCATTAGTGGTTGCGTGATATCAGATATCGCTCTCTGAAGGAGCTGCAACTCATAGAGTGAACCATGGTTGCCTGACATTTCTACATAGACTGAGTCTCTGTATGAAGGTAAATCATTGGCATATAACAAGATGTTCATTCACATCACTCTTTTCATTTGCCCTCTAAGAAAGAGTTTAGCCAAGTATAAAAAGTATCATAAGTTGACTTGAGGCCGACCAAACCTGAAACCCTCAGCTGACATGGAGCCGTTACCTTATCCCACCCCACCACTCTGTGTTTGTGACCGGTTTATATCCTTAAGACCTATTAGCCCACTGGTTATGGTCACTGAAACGGGTCTGCCCAGCAGCTTGGGCAGCATCTGAATTAAGTGTTCGGCCAGCTGGACACCTGGCAGAGGGACAAAACCGGGGATGGGCTGAAGAGAGTTAGCGGGATATGAGCATCGAGGCAGGCAGGCTGGATCTGGCAGAAGGTTGATGGGGGAGGGGGGGGGTCCTCAAGGTCAACTCAGAAACTAATAGATAAATGGTGGAAATAGGACAGTAGGCTGCAACAACATGTTTTTTGAATTTTAACCCTTTAAACTACAGAGACAGCTCTGAGGCTTTTTAATGCAAACAGCTATTTTCCATGATGGCCATGCTGCCCATTTAATCTAACTAGAAATAATATGGTGAAATCTCCTATCATAGATGTTTAATCTCCTTTCTCATTTCTTGACAAGGGAAAACCCAAATGCTTAAACATGTCAGATTTAAAAGTCGCTGGAGCAACCAAAATTATCAAAATCATCTCCCTGTTCTCCCTCTCCACTACACTGAACTGAGGCAGCGTGCCGAGTACAAAGAATGATGGTCACTGTAGTTCCCACACTCCTTACTTCCCACTTCCCAAAACTACACTTTTTTTCCCTGGAGAACATATTGTTTTATACTGTAGCAGGCCCACGACTGTATCAAGACACTCTGATCTTGCAATATGAAATTGACGATACTGTAACATCCCTACAAATATCCCTGTATGTTCAGAAGGGCATGTAGTAGGGATGGAAGATACAAAATCTCCCCTCTTTGAGTCTTCTACTGACATTGTTGAGCCTACCCTGTTTATTCAGCAGCGCTCTTTGTTGACTGGCGAGCAATTCTTTATTAAGCTCCCTTTTGTGTAGATATCTCCTGTGGACAAAGCGCTATGTCTTATCTCTTCAACTAGATACATGCTTGTTTTATCTTTAAAGAAAACCTCATCCTGCTTCCTTTGTTGGAGAAAATGTAAAGAAAGGACAGATTTAAGTGAGAATTGTTGTCAGGACTTGACAGACATACGGGAATTCCCAGCAGAGAACGTGTTTCCAGTACTCACAAAGGAAAAACTTTTGTAAAACATTTTGAATCTGCTTCAGTCAGTCTGTCCCATTATTGTTATTATTATTATTATTATTATTATTATTATTATTATTAAGAAACACAGTCCTCAACATTTCCTTGTAGAATCGTCTGAGCTGTACGCTAAAAGTTTTGGGAGTGTTTATGTTTTTGAATGCCTGATTGTTATTTGTGGTTATCAAGAAGAAGAAGACGATATCATTTATTAATCCCGCAAGGGGAAATTTATTTTTTTTTGTTTAGGACTGGGTTTTTCAACTGATCGCAGATTCGGCCTCTGATTGGTCTACAGACCAAAACAAGAGCAAAGTGAGATGGCTGCTTCTGTGTTAGCCGAGCGAGCTAACTGAAGTTACACTATATTTTATACATAAATTAAAAACGGTGGATTACTGTACATTTATTTTTATGAGGATTGTATTAGGACTGTCACTAAATATACACTGACAGTTGGATAGAAAAGCCTCTGGTTGAGGCAGAAACACGCTGAGTTTATCATTGGAAAGTGACTGACCTGACAAAGTGAGTGGATTTAACAGTAAGCTGCTACATCTTATGATCTCTAAACCTTTTTAATATTTTTTCTCTGAGAATCCTAATCTTACAGAATTGGTATTGTAACTTAAATGAATCGATATCGTATCGAATCGGGACTGGAATCGAATTGGGACCTTGTGAATCAGAATCGAACCGATTCAGACAATCAGTGGTGATACCCAGCCCTGCTGTTGTTGAACATGCTACATAGGCTGAAATACACAAACACATGCACAGACAGGATCCTATGGATGTGCGCTAATGGAGACATGTCAGACAGAGGGGGTTGCCCAAAGCGAGTGCTCCTGAGCTGGTTGGGGTCCGGTGCTTTGCTCTAGGGCAGTGACCTGTTTCACTGACCATAAGCTGTGGGCTAATGGGTCTTAAGGATATACACTGTAGCACACACAAAGTGGTGTGGTGTAATAAGCTGGAACCTCTATAGCTACCAGACCACTTTCCAGACTTGGTCCACACCAAGACTTTAACCATTGACCCTTTCAATCCCAACCCAAGTCCCTACAGACTGAGTTACTACCACTCACGCTATTTCATCAGTTATGCAGTATGAATATTTTAGAAAACTTATTCACAGCAAGGTTGGTTTTATATAATATTTCTCTGCTGTAATAACACATATGAAGTCTAGTGTGTGTGTAAGATCAGGTGTTGAATTGTAGTACCGGTAGTCCTTAATATTTAAATTACAAACGCTTACACTGACACATGCTACAATATCAATGCCTCATTTATACTCTGAAAGTGTTTATGAGCCGTCAGAGCTTTGTCAACATTAAGTTTATTGCGTAAAAAAAATGCAGATTCATAACCGTTGGCTCGATTTTTTTTTTGTATTTTACTAAAATAAGGACTAATTTAGAGTAGTATTCTACTTCTCAAAGATTTCTGTTCAATTCAACTCAACTCATCAGTTAACTCAACATCAGAGCTGTGAAGATTAATGTGAATAACACAACAGTTATACAGCGTGATGAAAACGAGATCAATGTTGGTGTGAATATTTAAGAGCCTTCAAAAGTTGTAATGTTAGCACAAGATTTATTTTTAAAAATTAGAAAACTGTTTTCATTTACAGACGCATGTTGTATACAGACGTATCTATCAAACTGGCTGAGGCCAACAAAAAAAAAATCTACCTCGAGCTTAATGATAGATAATTATATAGATGACATTTAAAGGCACAGTTAGTGATTTTAAACCATGAATATGTAAACATAGAGGAATAACACTAACTGTAAATGCACTACTGCAGCAGCTCACAGTGCGAGCAAAAATCAGACTTTAAGCTGATGTGTGGAGATCCAACATGAACAGTTGTGTTGCAGCTGAAATTAAAACTTTACGGACTTTATATTAAGCTCAAACACAAAATACATGAATTCAAGAGGAGGAATTATAACTCATTGCTTCCTTAAGTGTTGCTCAGATGATTAGAGCTTGCTAAGGTTCTCACAGTTTGGCTTTGCCTGGTGTAAGCTGGAGGTTCTGCAGCTTCATGGCCATGCCCATGTTCCCTGTAATCTTCAGTTTCCCTTTGAAGAACGCCTGAGGAGACAAAAGTGAGGTGGTGATTAAAAAAAGGCAACTTTAACTTCATTGATGCACTTAAAGATTAATATCACTGAAAATGGAAATCAATTAGACACATTATTGATCAGAACCCAGATTGAATGAGTTTAAAATGCTTAAAGGGGCAATCATCTAAACTGACCAATCAGAGCCGGCATCCGTACGTCATGTCTTTGTGCTCTGAGAGGAAGTCAATTATAAACCTGAGCAGGCATGGAGAATTAAGGCTGAGTGTAGTGTATTTCCTGGTACTGACATTTATCTCTAGATAATTGCACGTAAGTCACATTAACAGCCATCTGCACAAAAAAATACATTTAAAAGGCTGAAACATTTTGTTCAGTTATGTTCCCAGTGGTGTTCTCTGGAATATTTATCAGGATCTTAATTTGCTTCGTTGAGTCATGAATTTAAATCTCTACGAAAGCAACCATTATTCCTTCTTCTCACATGAAAAGGTCACAGCACTAAACTGACAAAGAATGAGCGCTCTCCTCTTTGTTTGTCACTGGTCATAAAGCTGGAAGACATTTTCAGGGGGGGTACAGAGGACATGTCACCAGGACAGGAGGAAGTGTCTCTACTGTAAATGTGAGAGGCAGAGAACAGGAGGTGTGAAGAAGAAGAAGAAGAAGAAGAAGAAGACACAGTTGTTAAATTATAAAATGATAGAACCTGCCTTGATAGATGGGTAGATGGGTGTCAAATTATAACTTGACGTTTCATCATGAGGTCTGTTAGATACCACTTGACTCCAGGGTGAATTTTAGGCTCCTTGGAAAGAGCTCTATTGTAGGGGTGATTCCTCACTTTAGTATATATGTAGTCTTAAGATAGAACACTTAGAGACAAAACAAGGGACATGAAGTATGGCAGACAGTGACAGCCATCATTAAAAACACTTCAAGATGAAACTTCATATTAAACATATACGTTGATACTGTGCATGTGCAGCGGAGATATCAGGTCCCAATTAGTGGATAATCAGTCTGTCTGCAGGTTCTTTTCCTACTTTTTTGCCTAAGGGGTGCTCAGTATGTTGACCGAATGAATTACTTATAAGAAAAAAAAACATCAATTGAATGAGTGGGGAATCTCAAACTACTAAACTCTCCCCGAGGTGGGGTATCTGTACTAATTGTGCTCCCCCCACCTTTGCAATCAATATTTGTCCTCGGGCTGACAGGTCACCCGCCAAGAACACCAAAGCTCAGTTTGTGGGTTTGAAATAAAAAGGATCACATTTTTGTGATCAGTTTTTGGTCAAAAAAAAAATGTCTGAACCAGTATGCTGTTGTTGGTTTAAAAAAAAATAATAAAAAATTAAGTTAAATGTGAGTTCCCCGAGGCATGGCATCCAAAAGCCTCGAGACCAAACAAAATCTAATTAAATGAGCACAAAATGCTGGAAACATTCAACCCATATGGGACATATTGTGTTCTATTACATCAGCTTCAAAATAAAAAGGCTAAAACTGAAAACATCGTACTTGAACAACTTCACTTCAAAGCTTGCCATATAAAAGAAAACATTTACTGTCTTGTCAAATCTCCAAAGTGGAAATGTTAACCAGTTTGTAAAGACAGCTCATTATCTGTCTGTGTCCGTATTTTACTGAATCAAGAATTTTCTTGCTTCTTTATCATTTGTTTACTCATTTACCCTCCTTTACCCAAAGTTACTTTTATGTTGATGGTATTTAGGCTCACTTGACGTCATTATTGTCTTAATGTGGGGAAAGGAAGTGATACTCCTTTCTTTCTCTTCAGCGCCTCATGCTTCAAACAGACAAAGATGTCTGATTGCCAGTTGGATTCCTTTGTGCTGTACTTCTATTTTTATATATTATTATATATAAAATATGAATATAATGAATCTGTGATTTTTTGTCACCACAATATTTTCACCATGCCAGCCCAATATAAAACGTGTACATCCACAGTAATGAGGATTCATTACTTGAGTTTCCTGTTGCTGTAAGGATTAGACTAGTGGGCTAAATGGAAATGTGTTCATACAGAAAGCATCCAACTGGATTAAGTTGGTCAACACAGACGCCAATCTGGCAGACAGGCATGTATTTAGGCTTTAAAAAAAACAGACAGCTCTTAGTAAACACAACTACACATGTATAAGAACACACAACAGATGCGTTCATGTGCTCAAACAACCCGCAACCTAAACATTCAACAAAGACTGTTTTACAACAATCTGTTGAAACAAGTTTATTAAGACACAAAACAGGAAAATCCAGAGTGCTTAACCATGAAGCGTACTTGCTTTAAATAAAACAAATTGGAAATATTTCTTTTTTTTTGTTTTGGCTGTCAGTCAAACTTTGGGGCAGACTTACCGACCAGCTGGACCAGGAAGTTGTTAGTTGTTTCCAACTATAGTGAGGCATGGTTTGTTTATTTCATTAATTATAATCCCTCTTGGATCAGGATTTTTTAGGAAAGCTATCTCACAATGTGTTTAAGGCATAACGTAAAGATATAATTTAAACCGGCATTATGAATATTTAGTATTCACTATTCAGGGATGTTCAATTACAAGCAGAATTACAAAAAACTACTGGAATGACTTTAGTAAATGTTAAATGGACTTGAGCTTGTAAAGCGCTTTTCTAGTCTTCTGACTACTCAAAGCACTTTTACACTGCAGATCACACCTACCCATTTACACCCATTCACACACTGATGGCAGTGAAGTAACTAATCCCATTCATATACATTCACAAGCTGCCGACGAAGCACCACTGAGAAGACACATTGGACATGTGGCTGCTGTCTCTTAATGAGTGGAAGAGTGATGGCAAAGCAAAAGGTGTGACCTGACAGAAAATTAAACACAAATTTAAAGCTACTCAAACACAGCCGTAGAAAAAAAAAATGACAGCAGAGCAGACATGAACAGAATTCAATGTTTTAAAGAAAATTCTGATCTATCATCATGCACTCAGCACAAAACATTTCTCCAACACTCTGTCTTAGGTGTTTATTTAACTACTGTTGGTAAGAAGCTGCTTTCTGAACTTCAGTTCTAGTTTTTGTTATACATACAAATGTACAATGTTATGTAAATGTATGCAAATGTCTGCTCATAACAAATTCTTCCCTTTTAGAGGGACGTCATAAATGCAGCATGCAGAGATACTGACATTTCAAACAGGAAAAACAGTTTTGAACTGTAACCAGACAAATAAAGGCTGGCACTATGACTTGACAAGTGAAACAAAGCAACACGGTAAGGACATCTTGTTCTGTAAAACAAAATGCCTATTCTTTTGTCCACTTTCTTTGCCTCAGCCATTTTTTACAGGATATAGTTGCAGTCTAAACTAATATTACTCATTATCAGTTATTCCTTCTTCTTTTTTTGTCTTTTAATGACTTTATTTAGACATAGGACATAGGAGTCAGAAATCAGGAGAAATCAGAGAGATTTCGGAATAACATCTGGGAAGGGAGCCGCAGGTCAGATTCGGACCCAGGCCACCCGCTTGGAGGACCACAGCCTCTGTATATGGGGCGCGCACTAACCCACCGGCACCTCATTCCTTTTTAAAGCCATTAAGCACAGAGAAGTTCAGCATGACTTCAGTTAGTCATCAGCATTTGTTTTATGGACATGGTAAGTGCAAACATATTTACAGTACTTACATTTGTTTGTAAAAGGTCAATTAAATATAATCATTACACACCGTCTGTGGGTTCAACTTTCCGGTCATCAGATCCAGAATATCCACATCACTCATGGATAGGGTGCAGTCAGCCTTTTTACCTGAAAGAAAAAATACAATTAAAAAAGAGCTCCCCAAAACATGTCTGTGAAGTTTCTTGTTATAAATCCACTCTGATCCTGTATTTGGATCAGATCAGAACACCGCCGAAGTATTTAAAATAATCATCTATATCTGTTGGAGCTATTTAATTGGGCATAGAATTATTTTTTGTATTTAGTTTACTAATATTTGGGTGGTGTTGTTTATTTAATTGTTCTACACGTTTTATTTATTTAGAAAAGATTTTGGGTAACATTTTCTTTTTGCTAGTTATTTGTTTAGTAAATTTAGTTTCGTATTAGTATTTTGTTAGGTATTTGGGTAATACTGTGGGCACTGGAGACTATTTAAGTAAGCGGCAGGTAGAGGACCAGCATGCACCTGGGTGGGCCTATTGTTTTTTAGCAGGTCAAGAGAGGCAGCGGGAGCCACGATTTTCTTTGTTCTTTTGTTTGTTTTCATCAAATAAACCAGCAAAATACCGCAGCTCCTGCATGGACATTGGATTACTTTTGCCTGCGTACATTACAGCCCCATGGTGTTGTTTTGGACAAATAGCCACTACAATATCTATAATACAAAATATTGTCTTCAATCACATTCAGAGCCCATGTTGTAAACAGAAAGCACTCCAGAGTGCACTGGGTTTCTGGTTTCGACATTGCCAACACTGTATTTGAATGCAGCTTTAAGTCGTGCCACATTAAACTGTTCTGCTTTCTCCATTCATTTACACTAGTTTTTCACTTCACTTTCACAGAGCAGCATACTTTGCACGCGTGTCAACAAAAATATGAAAAGCTAGCAGATGAACAAAAGCTGTATCGGTATCGTAAATGTTCCCAGAAATATCTTTAAAAGAAGCCAATAAAATATGGTAAATGATAAGGAAAGAGGCTCAGCCAGAATTAATATCCTGGCTTCTGAGACAAGCTGTAAAGGAGACGTTGCTCAGGACAGCAGAATACATAAAAGATGTTCATGCGCTGCTGAAATTAAACAAGTGCCCATAAATGACTGAATTTCCACAAATAAAGTACTTTGCGCCTTTCTTTTGGGGTGGCGCTGAGTGGAGTTGAGGTGCCACTCCAAATGGGGGGAAAAGGGAAACACTGCGTGATGGATTTCCACTTGAAACAGGATAGAACCAATCACGAGATAGAAGCCGGGGCATAAAATTGGAATGAATGAACACAGGAAAGCTGGATTTAAACCAGGAAAAAGTATTTCATTTCGTGGGGACTTTAAACTGGTTTTAACTGTTTGTTGTTGTTTTTTGATCAATTTCAGTTTAAATGTAATCATTCTTTATGGTTCATGACTACAAGCAGCAATCTCGACCTATTTTTCATTTAATTTTCATACATTTTTATTAATGATAGATACAGGACGCTTAAAACAGGTAACGGCATTCCACTTTTGCAGATTTCAAAAATGTTGAGAGAAGATCGAAAGATTTCTCTGAAGAAAACTTTCCATTTCAGGATTTTTCATTCTGAGTAAATAAGGACTATGTTCCAGGAAAACATCACAATGGCAGCCAGCCTAATGGAGAGGGAGCTATTAACAAGACAGGCAGTGAGAGCATGTTTGTGTGTTTGGCTGTATGTGTATATGTGTGTATGTGTGTATGTGTGTGCATGTAACATATGAGTCACTGTGGCTGCTTAAAAAGGCAGAATACACCTTATTTAACATGACTTTTGCCTCTGGCATATCAAAGATGGATATAAATGCTCGAGGCATTGTTTGGATGAGGATAGATCTGACTTTTAATGACCACGTGTGTTTGTGTGTGCTGCCCTTTTTCTTGATTTGTGTGTCCTGTTTTGTATCCAGTGTAGCAGCTTTATCCTTCTTTAAATACAAAAATTCAGTTCATAAGGAAAATTCAAGATATTGCTCAAAGACAGTTGTCAAACTCAAATCTATGACAAGTTGTCTGCTTGTCTAGATAAACTGGTCATTAGTAGTTAGCTAGAAGTGCCACAAAAAAATATACGGTCAGACAACGGAAACACAATCGAACATCTTATCCCTTCATTGCTCAGACACAACAGAGGGGAGAGCAGAGAGTTGAACAGCACAGTGGACAGTGAAGAAATCCCTGAAACATTTAATCAGTTCTTGTATATAAAGCTCTGTTTTTTTGCCCAGTTTTATCTGATGACTGTAGGAGTAAAACTTCAAATTCAAAAGCCCATCCAAATTTAAGGCCCAGTCCCTTTTACTAGCCCGGTGCTGCTGAACGTTTTGACAACGCCCCCCGTCACATTTAGTGTCACGATTCAACACACACACACTCTCTCTCTCACTCACACACACACACACACAACACAACCCCCCCACACACACACACACACACAGTCTTGTTCCTGCATCTCATTGCATCTCCCCCTATCCCATTTTCAAACCCGGCTTAGTAGATAGCTGTTTCGTCATGAGCCTGGATTTGCCCAAGAATTCTGCACGTTAAAAGGCAGTTTTTTCTTGCCACTGTAACTTTTGCTGCTTTGCTAAAGTGCTAATTTTGGATTAAGCTGGATCTTTGTAATAAAGCTATGAGTATGGTCTTTTTACCTGCTCTTTGTTATATTAAATAAGAGTAAGGTCTTTTATCTACTTT